GAAGCCTGACACATTTAAAACGGTAAATACAGTCAGAGAATATTTGCTGCGATGTTAGTCTGACGTAGAACCACCAGGTGGCGCTGTGTCTCGGTCATTTAACCAAGTTGCTTCGTCGTCTGTATCACCAGTTCAGCGGGCACATTGGCAAGTCTTTATTTCAGCCTAATGAAATCGATAAACATTGACTTGGAGTGGGGGAGTCCACAGAGAGGCCGGTGTAGGGTTTCTCCTGTAAAGGGACTTAAGAAGTCGACGCCCACACTCCATCATTCTATGTATTTCCTCTGAAGCCCCGATGTTATTCGTCAAAATACACAACTTGTATTTTATGGAAGACTACGAGGGATTTTTTAAGTGTCCCGGAGAAACTGAGCTCTACTCGGAGAGATTTAAAGGATATGAGACAAACAGAAAACAAAGAAAAACAAACGTCGTCCTCACCTCCAAATCATTAAACTGCCATACTGTTAATAGAACTCAAGCACTCACAATTGCATATATAATACTATTTTATATGCTGTTAAACTGCTTAGTATAAAATGCCAATAAGAAAAAATGGACACGCTTCTGTCAATGGCTTTCCTCTGCATATGTGGACATCACCAGCAATAAAGCACTAGGACACACAGGAACCTGCTCAGTAGTGGATTTATATTTATTTGTATACGCATTTTTTATACGTACATAACATCACATATATAGCTGGATATAAAGCCAAACCTCACAAAAGAAGAAATGAATTTAAAAACACCTTTCCCATAACAGGAACAAAATATCCTAGATGATACAGTCTGTCGGATTCAATAGAAAGATCAAATATACATCTAGTCCATGAATACCTTAAAAAAAACATTATATGGCATTGGCAGAAAAAGAACCCCCCTCCCTATGAAGAGTGGCTAAAGACAATGGCTAAGTTGGCGTCTTACGAAAAAGTGACTTATGGTTTATTAGACAAATTGCATCAATATGATTGTATTTGGTCCCCCTTTACAAGCTGGCTTTTTGTAACTTGAAGAACAGAAGAATAATGACAGAGTGGTGGAGTGGGGATTGGTGTGCAAAGAAAGAATAGGATACCTTTCCTTTGTTTTTGTTTTTGTTTTTTTGTTTTTTGTTTTTTGTTTTTGTTTGTTTGTTTTTTAAACTATTTATTTATGTAGTTATCCTTAAGTTCTGTTATTGAAGTTTAAAATGAAATAAATAAAAATTGTTGATGACAAAAAAAAACATTATATGGAACAATGTACGTCAGTTTACGGGAGGTCCTTGGAACCCATCCACTACATATAATAATCGTAAAAAACAGGACGACAACAATTCCTCATTTAATCCTCCAGGATACACTGTTATATGGGCTTCCCTTTGATTTCCCTTCCCTGTCAACAACTCTTTTCAACAGCCCAACCACCATTCCCCGTAACCACTGACCCTCCAGCTAACTGAAAATGTCTGGCTGTAGGGGACCTCTCATCATTTTTTCTGATGTAATTCATGTGTTCAGAAATGTTAGCTATCAACTCCTTCTTATTGTTCATAACAAAATTCAGAAGGGAGCTTTATTAAATATACTATATGTGTGGTACTAAAAGTGAATGAATGAAAGAACGTGGTTAATGTAAGAAGTTATGCCTATCAGTCTGTTTTGAAAGTGGAAAAAAAAACAGTCCGATCCTTTATGTTCTCATTTCAGGGAAAAGCACAGTGATCACAAGGTTAAATGAGTGTATTTCTGGGATCAGAAAAATGTATAGAAATAACTTTTTGGCATTTACTATCCTATGCCAAGGAGACATTCAGCTGTTTCAGTTTAAATGGAAAAATAAAACGTCCAATTGTCCGTCCATCCATAGTCATAGGGCAAAAGGCAGGGTAAACCCTGGGAGGGATATCACAAGGCTAAACATTTGCAATGATTTTAGTTATTTTGTTGTGTTTTTGTTTTGTTTTTGCTTGTGAACATTTAAGCATCGTCTTATTTCTGTCCATGCTGCCAGGTCTACTGAGTGTATTTGGTGCATTATTGCTTTTGGATTTTGTAGCCTCTAACAGTACCACGGACAGCTCACTCCTGACCTA